CGCTGCACAGAGGCCGAGGAGGAGGCGGCTCGGCAGCGGGTGCGCGCTGATCAGCTGGTGGAGGCCGAGCTGGCCGCGCGCCGCCAGTACGCGGCGCTGCGCGACTCGGCGCGCGCCCAGCACCAGCAGCAGGTTGCTGAGCTGCGCGCGCAGCTGCTGGCCGAGCGCGCCGCAGAGACGGCCGAGCTGCGCGCAGAGCACGCCCGCAGTCTGGAGCGGGAGCAGCAGGCGCGCGAGGCCGCCCAGCAGAGCGTCGAAAGGTGGGTGAACGGCCGGTGGCTACGTGGTGGTTGTGTAAGGGGTGGTTCATCCTTACTTATTAAAGGTAAAACCAGTATCATCTGCTCATGTTGAGCCGACGTTCGTCAGAGACTTGCAGTCTGGCTAATCGATCAATTACTTTGAAAATGAATCTTCAGCTGTGTAGTGTTTTCTCTCGGGCAGCATGGCCCTGTCTTGCAGCAGCTATGACCCCACACTCCATCCTGACGGTCTCTGTGGTGCACTCGGCAGGCTCGAGTCTGAGCTATCCTCCGAGCGGGCCCGGCTGGCTGAGCTGTCTGCGCGTCTCCAGATTGCCGAGTATGAGACAGAGCGGTACGACGTGACTGCCACAGAGGCGGTCCGCGCGGCCGAGACGCTGAGGGATGAGAACACGACGCTCAGCGCACAGCTGCAGGTGGGCACTGGGCAGGGACGCTCAGACAGCTGGTCGGTGTGTACCGATACTTTCAGGCTACAAGCACTTCCTGGTCTGACTCTTATCTTATGCTATGTTAGTCGCGTCTGTGGTATCCAATATCCAAAGCAGTCCATCGTAATCCATTGTAGACTCATTTGATGAATAATTGCACATTTAGTGGCCAACACCGTGAATAGTATCCGTGTTTGAATCGGTTGCTTTTACTGACTCCTTCATCCTGTGACCTCCACTGGACCTTCCCCTTCCCTCTGTGTACCTCCACTGACCCACTCTCCGTCTCCCGTTACCCGCAGCAGCGGGACGCGGCGCTGCTGCAGCGGCAGACGGAGGCGGACTCCGAGCGGAGCCGACTCGAACGGGAGCTGGCCGAGTGCCGACAGCAGCTGCAGGCCTACGAGGCCTTCGAGAAGAGCTGGGACACGTTCATCGCTCAGGCCGCGGAGGGTAGGTCCGGGCTGTGGTTTGAGGAAAGCAATCCGTGGCTGGATGTTTACGGCTATGGGGTGTAGTTGTGTATTTGGAGCTTTTTACTTGCTGCCTCCCATGATTGCATTGAAAGAATATTCGATCCCGCTTATCACAAACCTCAACAGCGGTGAACTCATGTGACTGTGGTTAGCTTTGTTAGAGTGGTATTGTCATTGGAAATGATTGCATACGCTGCTTACCTCAATTTAATAGAATCGCTATGTGCTGAATATCCGCCATGTCTGACCAACCTGTTACTGCTGACCCCGGCAGGCGGTGACGGCTGTGCGGAGCTGCTCGAGTCGGGTCCGCCGCTGCCAGCCGGCTGCCGGCGCCGGCTCCAGTACTCGCTGCAACTGGGCCGCCGACTGGTCGACTCCGAGTCAGTGGTGGCCCGGCTGAGGGGCCAGCTGCGGCAGCAGACGGAGCGGGCTGAGCGGCTGCAACAGCAGGTGAGCCACCGGCGCGCCGAGCCCCCCCCCCCCCCCCCCCCCCCCAGGTGCGACAGCAGACGGAGCGAGCTGAGCGGCTCCAGCAGCAGGTGAGCCACCGGCGCGGTGAGCCCCCCCCCCCCCCACCCAGCTACGGCAGCAGACAGAGCGGACTGAGCTACTCCAGCAGCAGGTAAGCCACCCACCCCTACCCACTACCAGCCTGCAGCCTGGACCTTTATAACGAGCGGTCCTAATTGGTAAGCTAAATTTATTTAGATATACAGTATAATTACATTGGCGATGTTGCTGATGTGCTCGCCTTGAACCTCAGCGTGTGCACTTTTTAAAGCTACATTTTTCTGTTGACGATTTCTCGGTGACGTCTGCGGCCATGCCATGCCCGTGTTGTCCGTCCGGGGTCGCTGACGACTCTCCGTCCCGCTGTGCAGATGTCGCGCCTGCAGCCTCTGCTGGGCGGCGGCGGCGGCGGGGCGGGGGCTGCCGACCGCTGGCGACAGTACGAGGACACCATCGAGCGGCTGCAGGCCGACAGCCGGCAGCTGACGGAGCGGCTGCAGCTGCTGCGCCGCCAGCTGGCCACCGTCACCCGGCAGCGGGACCGGCTGGTCAAAGGTCAGTCGCGGAGGACGGGGGCGGAGCGCGCGGAATTGACCGTTTGGGTGACCGTTTACACTGACAGCGTCTGCGAATTTAGCACACGAGACGATCGAAACATACCGCGCTTGCGATCAGCAAAATGCTGCAATTGTCGATTTCGGTTGGAAGGAAGGTTTGGTTTGAGCTGAAAGTCGAGGCTAGAATCCAGCTATAAACTGACCTCACTAACGAGCATAGTTTGGTGGATGCTGGACGCCGGGCAGTTGTATTTGTGAACCAATCCCGGCCTGCAGAGCGTTACAGTACAGGCATTTGGTTCACAGATATTGATGTTTTGCTTCGTCAAGAGGATGATCTCAACGCCTTGAAACTGCTGGTGACTCCGCTGCTCGAGTCTGACTCTGGGAGTCACGCAGAAGACTCCAACCATACTACTCCCTAGTCGACTACAACGTAAAAAGAAACCACTGCCAAGTGCTCAGTGTTTGTACTCGTTATTTAATATTTAGGTAGCACTCGTAAAAAGTAGTTATTTCGTACTTTTTAAGTTAATTATAATGTGATGTTTGTGATATATCTCATGTTTCATCTTTATTTTGTCTCGTGATTGCTGTAAATCAAAGGCATCCATTTTCCACCCGTGTGTGGTAAGCTAGGCATTGCCTCATAACATATTCTTGTATCATTCATCGTTTTATCAGGTTAGCTAGCTGTCGTCATTCTTTCCGAAATGTTTGCCCCTCCTGTCCATGAACTTATTTCGTTCTCGCGATATTCCCCTTAACATTTTCAGTCATCTATTTATTTTAGTTTCGATGCGTCTTTTCGGGGGTCTCATTTTTTCAGCCAAATTCCTGTGAAATATCGCATTGACAAGTACCTGTCCTTGGTAAACGACATAACTCCCAACCGAATTTTGCCCTCTGGTGCCTGGGCCGAGCTCTGTGCTACTATGTAGGGCTTCTTTGTATGTAGAATGAATGGACAAGACCCTGGAAATGAATGTTGCGACCCAGTCTCAGCCAGCTGATGCCAAAGTATTTTTGTGTCCGTGTGTTTTGTCACCTGCTTCCACATGCGTGATCCAAGTACAAAAATTTGGTACGAATATAACCAAAAATGATCGTGGTCAATACTGTTTTTCACCGATTGTTTTGTAACAATATAAAAGCTACGAATAATATTTGTTTGTATTAGAACCTTGCTGTATTTCATAAAAAGGATTAACCCGCGCACCGACGGGGGGCGGATATCCGCCCCCCCCCCCTGAGGTTTTTCGCGAATAGCGGGAAAACCGCGGCGTGTAGCGCCGCGAAATTTGGTACGACTATTCCCTCATCAATTTTACGCATGGTGTGCAAGTTTGAACCTCCTACCTTTTAAGGTCAGGTCACCAGGTCACTTTGAATGACCCAACCTCAAGTCACTTTTTTGCAACTTTGTCACCGTGCCAGAGCTACAGTAGATGTCGGAGGCCTTTGAAAGTCGCAGGATGTTATTGGGTCATTAGTAGCTACAATTTGTATATCTCGGAATTTTGATATCGGTGACCTAAGGTCAGGTCAATTTCGCGACCTTCCCATTATAAGTCAATGGGGGAAAAATCAACTCCCTGTTTTTACCACTAAAACGGGTCGGAATGGCCCCATATACCATACGTGACTTCATATACGATCAACCTTCACTACCTTGAGGTCTGTTTTGCTGTTGGGCAGCTGTGAGGTCATGTGACGTCATCAAAGGTCACCAAAGGTTTTTGGCCAATAACTTCGTACAGGAACAAGATACAGCCGCGTGGATGGTCTCATTGTGTTCAGCTCGTCAAGACGCATCGAATGATATACATGATGACCTCGAGGTCACGTGACCTGAGGTCAACCTTTGACCTTGACCTTTCGAGGTCAACATATATATCATTCGATGCGGATTGACGAGAGGATCACGATGATGCCCTTAGTTTGTTCCTATCTTGACTATTTCGAAAGTTATTCGAGAAAAACTCTCCATATCTAGCGCCGCCATTTTGACTTTTTCGACCCCTGTGACGTCATCTTTGACCTGACCTGAAAATGATCTTAGTAAAAATTGTAGATCTTGACCGTGCGCATCCGATGCCGTTTACCGCTTGTCGCTAGCTTGCTTCGTTCTCGAGATCTCAGGAGGGGGGCGGTCATCCGCCCCCCCCCGTCGGTGCGAAGTTGGCGCAGACCCCCGTCGGTGCGCGGGTTAATTCATATCACGTCATCCATTCGTCTCGATTTATACCTTGGCTTAGTTTACCAGCGTCCTAAGTGGTACAAATCAAGCTGTTATCGATGGTTTTACCACTGCAGTAGTGCAACGCGGACATGGCCGGAGGCGTTTGTTTCCCAGAGCTCGAGTTTTTACCAAATAGCTGTCGTTTGATATCTCGTGCGAAGTCTCAATTGCTGCTTGGCATACATTGCATGTGCGCCTTATTCCACATCCGTGGCGGGTCTCTGGGAGTGGTTTTGGGTCTGAGTATTGCTCTGTGGCCGGCGACTGTCTCTGAGGCCATTCCTGCCCTCCCATCTCCATCCACCTGTGCTGTCGAGATAAGATACAGTCGGCTCCCAGAGGTCCATCGCTGCTGACACGTGATAGACGGTCCCATACTTGGAACCTCAGTGGCGATGGGAACTCTGCCAGGGCGGTGTCTGAGATTCGGCCATATGGCCCGGCTATCGTCACGGTCAGTGCCTATGCATCTGTGTGACCTTCGAATACGGCAAACCGCCTACAAAGTACAAAGCTCATTGAAGATGACATTTATAAGATATTTTATTGGAGCTGTGCTAGCCTGACATTATTTTTAGAAGCGTGAAATGTTAATGATAATGGCTTCAAACATAGCTTGATGACTTCTCTTCACGAGCACTGGAAGTCCATCATGACGTAAACTGTAAAGTATGAACGAGCAGAGACTCTCGCCTTCTTAAAACGTACTTACATGTGAGTTGAGACTACCACCTCCGATTTGACACTTAGCAGGACAGAAGATAATGCAACTACAGTTGACGACATAAGAACAAAAACACTCAGCTTAAATATACGAACTTGGGTAAATGTCACGTTGAGCTAGACAATATGCCTACATTTAAGAAGACGATTCATGGTTCGAATGCGTAGCCGTTGTCCAAAGCCTTTTCCCATTCCTCCTCCACCACAGTGGAGATGTGGTTTTCGGCGGTGAGCGGCTGGCCGCGCAGAGTCACCCCCGAGTAGCATCCCTTGCGCGCCGACCGGATGTCGGAGCCCACCACGCCCAGGTAGTCGGCCGTCGGGAAGAGGCCGTAGGTGATCTTCTGTCCGCTGGGCGAGACGGCGCTGTCGCTGCCCGAGTACAGACACACGCTGTAGCCCGTGTAGTTGTCGCCAGAGTAGATGGTCCACGCGTCCGGGCCCGTCACTATCACTGACTGGTAGCCGTAGGCTGCAATAGAGGCAGAAGTAACACCCGTCAATGCCTTTGACTGGTAGCCGTATGCTGCAATACAAACAGAAATAACCCCGTCACTATCACAGACTGGTAGCCGTAGGCTAAAATAGACAAACAAATTAATTTGTGTCCTTAATGGATTCTAACGAGTTTGATAAAAACGGAGATTTAGTTGAAAGCTGAGGTGTTTTAGTTCGAGATAGAGACGAAGTTTCTTTCAAAGGATACGAATCCATTTATCCCTTCTATCGTCCATGGTCTTGAAAGGTCGTGCACGGTTGGCTCACGGCCTGTCTCACAATACGGTCGCTTCGAGCACCGGTCACAGACCTGTGGAGACGTTATAGGTGGACGCGTCGATGAACACTTGACTGCCCGAGAAGAGCGTGCCCTCGAACAGTGTGAGGGAGTCGGCGGCGGCGTCCACTAGGTGTCCGACCGGCCGCACACTGGAGACCTGTGGTCAGGGGTCAGAGGTCAGTCACAAGTGCTGCAGGATAGACGGGGACGCGGAGACTGCACACTCGAGACATGTGGTTAGGGGTCACGGTCAGTCAGCGCATGTGCTGCAGGAAAGACGGTCTATCTGCTATCATACAGGAAAGACGGTCTATCATGAAAGATAGACGGTCTATCATGCAGGATAGATGGTCTATCATACAGGATAGACGGTCCATCATACAGCATGGACGGTCTATCATACAGGAAAGACGGTTTATCATGAAGGATAGACGGTATATAATGGAGGATAGACGGTCTATCAGGATAGACGGTGGACGCCGGGACCGCACACTCGACTGACCTATGGTCACGGTCTGCGCGGTTTGGATGGTGAACAGATATTGCGAACGCACTGCGCACTCTGTCACGACTTTTGACTTTTTAGGCGGCGTAGTTGACGATGTTGTGAATAAAAAAGAAATGTAGAGCCTCAGCATAATCGAATGCATTACATGACAATTGACACATACGTTTAATTTTAGACGCGTTCAGTGCGTTGAGTTTTAGGCATCTCACCTGTTTATCCATATCTTCCCGGAAGGTAAAGCAGTAGTTGAAGCCGTATGCCCACAGCACCTTGCCAGACTCGTAGTTAAACTGGTCGTGCTCGTAAAACACCCAACTGCAATACACATGTCGGCGTTTAAGAATTGAATCCATCCCGGTCCCGTAGGTCCCAGTCAAAGCTCACGCCGTTTCGATCTGAATTAAGATCGGGAAACTCGATCGGGTGAAAAGGTTAGTGGTAAATAGTTAAATGCGAAAATGCATTAAAAGCATCCTTTTACTTTGTATTCATAGTAAGAGCTCTAAGTCATACCTTTGAAGTGCGCTCCATTCATTTCTAACTATATGAAATTTATCGACATTTGATATTCAGAACGGCTGACGAGCATTTATGTAAGCACCTAGTTAAAACTACTTGAACGTCTATAATGCAAATATGTGTCGACTGTGGGTCCGTTAAAATTACAGACGCCCAGCTCATCAAAACGACTGGCAAGAGCCTCTCAGAGGGGCTGACTCACAATCCGTTGATGCAGGCGGAGCGCATGAGGTCGTTCCAGCCGCCGAGGCTGCTGGCGCTGTCGTGGTACGTGATTAGGCTGCCCGTCTGATGCTGGCCGCTGTAGCCGTCCAGCCACTGCCTCGCTCCGCTGGGTCGGGCCAGCCCTCCGGCCGCCGCCACCGCCGCCGCCGTCAGCAATAGGTGAAACATGGCTGGGACACTGCAGTGTGGTCTGCAGCGGGGTGTTGCAAGTGCGTCTATATAGCTGTCCCTCCGAGCCGCCCCTGTGAGAGGACTGGGACCAGACCAGCTGCGCTCCGGGTCCCGGCCGCCGCTCTGCGATGCATCGGGAACCTCACGGGCGCTTCATACGAAAAACGGGCGCTTTGTCACCGAAATTCGTAGATTGTTGCGCAGATCTGCAGGAGTCTGATGTCACCTGCCTGCTCTGTAAGGAAGTGCGCAGATGACAGTTGTGCAACTACCGATAGTATAGGGGCTTGATATGAGGCATTGCATTGCATGGCATGCTAATTGCGTTTTACATGCGTGTTTGACAATTGACATCTATGTAGCATATTGGGCCTAAGCACTTTATGCTCAGTTATCAGAACTGTCTTAACACACTTGTGTCCTTGTACGAGCCTAATGTGGGTACTGGGTACGGAGCGTGTTGCTACTGTGTCGGCCTGTTAATGTCTGTATGTCTTTGTAGATGTATGTCTGAATACCGATATAGGTGTCTGTGTATGTAGGTATGCATGCATATGTATGTATCAATATGCATATTACATATGGCGTAGATATAGGTAAGACCTATGATATGGGCATAGGTAAACGTACACTATGAGCCTGCGTGTCTATCTATAAAGGCACGTGTCGATGTCAGCGCGCCTGTGTGTGTGTATAAAGGCGCCGGTCGCTCGGTGCGGTGCGCTCAGGATCTCCTCAGTCCCTGCCGACATGTGTCTCGGAGTTCTCACGCTGCTCGTGGCGGGCGCGGCGGCGGCCAGCGCCGGCACGCCCGTTCCCCCGTCCCTACTGGTGTACACGGGTGCCGGACAGACGGGCACCAGTGTCACCTACTACAGCAGCCAGAGCAGCCTGGGCGAGCTGGACAACCGCGTCGGGTCCATCTGCCTCATGGGCTGGTAATTAACCGGCGATAAATTAACCTGCGTCGTTAATTGAGGGCTGCCTTGATCCGGCAATCTGCAAAATTTATGAGATATTAGCTACATCACATGGCTGATACGTGTTTAACTAAACTGACGGCCCACTTTCAGTTGGATCCTGTACGAGAACGAGCAGTACAATGCGCAGAGCGGAGCGGTCCTCCTTACGCTGGGTATCCGAGGCTGTATGGACATCGACGGAGACCTGCAGGGCAAGGTAAGTGGACTTTCGCTGAAATGCCCAGCTGGGCATAAAGACAGCTATTGTGAATTTACGCTCGTCAAATACATAACTAGGAAGGTGTCTGCTTTATTTTTGCTGTGTTCGCAAACGAGTCCGATTGTTCTCTGCGTCCGTACATTAAACATCACATAATAGTGTTTTTAATGTCATCACGTTTCGAAGTTTCATCAGTTCCACCGTGGTTGAGTTCGTCGCGACGATACTGGTAAGCTGCCACTGTTTCAACACATATACCTTGACTGAGAATGAGATGTTCAACACTGCCCAGCTGTATTTAGTAACTTTGCGCTGCCGAATTGAGTGACCTCGTGACCCGTCGCTCGCCAGGTGTCCAGTCTGCGCTACGTCGGTGACCCGACCGACGCGTCGCTCAGTGGGCTAACCCTCTACTCACGCATGTACTTCTCCGGCGAGGAGACGTTCCTGCAGGCCGACTCTGCCAACACTGTGTCAGGTGAGGGCTGTCGCGCCGGGTGCATACCGCGTGTGTGCCCGAAACCCAGCTGGTGTTGGCTCCAATTTATTGTTCTACCGCACTGGAGTCAGGTGTCTCAGCGGGTATCAGCTGCCATACCAACTACCAAGGCTTGAGCGTGAAGCATACTTACATAGTTTTTTGTGAGCGAACAATGTTATAAGTTATAAGCGAGCAATGTTATAAGATGTTCAAAACATCTCTGTCAATGTTGGTAAGCCTCTGAGCTACTAAGCTACACATACCTGTAGCCAACAAAAATAAAAGGCTGGGTGTCGAAAATGAAGGTAAACTTTGAATCAGCTAGGAACACTGAATCAGCTACTTCAAAAGAACGTACTCACTGAACAGCGGTCACCCAGCGTAGCATGCGACGTGGCGCGTGCCTCCCGACGCGAGGTGACTGGAACAGAAACAGCCGAGACATGCGGCACAGCAGTACAGCATGCTTCAGGCGCACGACTGTTACAGAAATCTAGCGGCTGGAATGGAAACTATAAAGCATTGCGGCACAGTATGCGCTAGGCGTACGACTGCTATAGACATCTAGCGGCTGGAATAGAAACTAATAAGCACTGCGGCACAGTATGCGCCAGGCGCCCGACTGCTATAGACATCTAGCGGCTGGAATAGAAACTTTGGAGCATTGCGGCACAGCATGCGCCAGGCGTTCGACTGTTCTAGACATCTAGCGGCTGGAATAGGAACTGTAGAGCATTGCGGCACAGCATGCGCCAGGCGTACGACTGTTATAGACATCTGGCGGCTGGAATAGGAATTATGGGGTATTGCGGCACAGCAGGTGCGCCAGGTGCTCGCCTCTGATAGACATTTTGCGGTCGGGATAGGAACTACTGTACCATGCGGCACAACATGTGCCAGGCTCACGACTACGATAGGATTTTTTCATCAGCTCTCAATATTTTGTTTTCATTTATTGCAGCTGCACCGACACGCAAGGTGCACATTAGGGTTGTTCAAAAAAACCGAATTTTGGAAAAGTATATAGGCTCATGGCTCATGTGGTGCGGTATTCTTTTCTGAGTCCAATGATACCCTTTTTTCCGAAAAGTATTACTGCTAGGCGCTGCTCAAACGGCTTAAAGAGGACCATGTTACGCCCGCCGACCGGCCAGTGTCAATAAGGGCGAGAATTCGACGCCGCACGGCGGCGGCAGCGCCTTATCGGCACCGCGCGCCACGACATCTGCTGGGCGGCCGGCTGGGCGGTGGGAAGTTATAAGTGCGTGGTCTTATTGCACACGATCGGGGTGAGCTATCCCATGTTTTCGGGGCGGAAAGTTTCAGTGCAGCATCGGTGCGTCTGCCACGGTGATCTGTGTCGATGGTATAGAAAATAACTCAAGCAGAGCTCAGAAAAGAATGAATGATTCCGGGTAGTTGCCTCGAAATAATCCGTTTCAAGAATACAGCTGCCTTCTTAACGTACTGTATCACTTGTTAATTCTTCAAAAAGCAAGCTCTGAGCAATAACAGACTTCTTTGCATTGCTGTTGACAATTTAAGTTGCTTTTGGACGGTGGCTCGCAGCCCCAATATGCTGCCGCGTAACTCTATTCCAACGACGAAACGGCAACTTAGCGAGAATCGAAAATTTAACGAAGTAGGTACAACAGGAGCTGGCAAGGCTCCTGCATTGGTCTATCCGTCATGAGTGACACACCGGGGTAATGTGTCACGTCAGGGCAGAGCTGTGTTCTATGCCGGGTCTGGATTCGGGTCTTGATCGGCATCGGTGGGCACGGCCGCCCTGGCCGGACTGCCGGCGTCGCTTATGCTCGAAGGATTGGATAAACGGCGCTTGATTTATATGAGTAGGTACTCCGGCTAATGTCTCTACTCATGTCTCACTTCGTCACACTGTCAGGGTGGCCACTCTGTCATTCCCAGACATGTTATGTTTTCTTTCGACCCGCTAATCTAAGTTACACCTGGCGTCGATTCTGTTGCCCCAGCATCTGACATCAACGTATCTGAATAATGACATTGGTGACGCATATGCTCGTCAAAGCCACCCCCAAACTTGGGCCGATGACTGTCGGGTCTCCTCAATATTATGTCCTTGTGCATACTGCATTGCCAGCCCCTGCTGTACGTATATCGTGAATTTTCGATTCTCGCGAAGTTGCCGTTTTGCCGTTGGAATAAAGTTGCGCGGCAGCATATTGGGGGTGCGAGCCACCGTCAAAAACTAACGTAAATTGTCAACAGCAATGCAAAGAGGTGTGTTATTGCTCAGAGTTTGCTTTTTGAAGAATTAACAAGTGATACGGTACGTTAAGAAGGCAGCTGTATTCTTGAAACGGATTGTTTCGAGGCAACTACCCGGAATCATTCATTCTTTTCTGAGCTCTGCTTGAGTTATTTTCTATACCATCGACACAGACCACCGTGGCAGACGCACCGATGCTGCACTGAAACGTTCCACCCCGAAAACATGGGATAGCTCACCCCGATCGTGTGCAATAAGACCACGCACTTATAACTTCCCACCGCCCAGCCGGCCGCCCGGCAGATGTCGTGGCGCGCGGTGCCGATAAGGCGCTGCCGCCGCCGTGCGGCGTCGAACTCTCGCCCTTATTGACACCGGCCGGTCGGCGGGCGTAACATGGTCCTCTTTAAGCCGTTTGAGGAGCCCCTAACAGTTAATACTTTTCAGTAAAAAGGGCATCATTGGTCTCAGAAAAGAATACCGCACCACATGAGCCATGAGCCCATATACTTTTCCAAAATTCGGTTTTTTTGAACAACCCTAGTGCACATCCCGTCACACGTGTCTCAATCATCGGATGCATTCCGTACCTCAGTCACTTTTTTTACAGATACATTACCTTATCCAATATCTCCACAGATTGTAGTAGTCACACCCTAACAAACCCTATCCCTGTCCGCCCCGTCCCGCATATATAGTACCTACTACGCTCTAAAGTTTCACCAATGCTATTTCAATTCTGCTCCGCAATACACGTACAGATACAGACCCTTCCTGAGTTGACGCATTTCTGTTCGCGGGCCCCGCAGACTCGCCATTTAGCTGACATCTCCCTTTTTGCCTCTGACCTCACACCTCCCGTTCCACCGTGTTCCAGCCGGCGGCTCGGCTACCCCTGTCTAACAGCCCAGCCTAGTCTGTAATAGTGAGTGGACCATTTCTGTCTCTGTTGCAGCCAGCGGCTACCAGTCTGTCATGGTCTCCGGCCCCGACTCATGGACCATCTACTCGGGTGAGGACTACACGGGCGACAGCGTGTGCCTGGAGTCGTACGGCACCTACGTCTGGGTGGGTGACGAACAGATCGAGTACGGCGTCTTCTGGACGCCCTGGGATCTCGGCGTTGTCGGCGGTAACATCCGCTCCGTGCAGAAGGGCTGCGCGGAGGGCGCGACCCGCCTCCAGTCGCAGCCGGTCACCGTCCGCCGCGGTGACGCCGGGCTCGTCGTGAAGAACTAGAGAGCCACCAGAGGGCAGTCGACGGCGACGGAGAGACGACGGAGAGACTGCAACACCGAACCGGGGACCGACGGCAAGACGGAAATAGGTCGGAAATCAGACGAAGTGCTTGTTCGGTTAAACGGACAGCGACGCCCAGGCAGAGCGTCTGCCTAACGCAATTGCGGAAGTTTACGGACAAGATGCTCGGTCTGACGTTGTTGGTAATTGTTACTAGTTGTTACATACGAAATTATGGGCCAAAGGTATGGATCACTTTAAAGGGCCGGCTTATGAAAATCGACACAATTATGAATAAAGATACAAGAAATAGTCCGGTGTTGTCGAACCATGTTTTTTGATATGGAGTAAAGATACAAGAAATAGTCCGGTGTTGTCGAACCATGTTTTTTGGTATGGAGATAATGGTGTCTGCAGCGTTTATATCCTTCAAGGTTGTTGATTTGGGACGCGATAGCCGCGATATCCAATCGTCCAACCAGAACATCTGGCGCGAATAATCACCAAGACTTACACGTCGGAAATGGAAACAATTTAGGTATTAGATAGCTGTCTCTTCTACCAGACAGCACAGTCTTCCAAACAAACTTCTGTGTGAAGATTTCCAGAAGTGTGGTGAGGTGTCAGGTGAGAACTGGCTCATTGGTATCCCGTTGCCTATTGAGTTCATTCATATAAATTGCTTCTCTATTTAATTGCAAATACATAATCTTAGACCAACGGCAACATCTTTTTAGCAAAGTCATTCATTTTAAACGTGAAACCAAGTGAAACTTCGGTTAAAAACGGTTTAATTTTCAACTGCTTCAAATTCTTATTTTTAGGCAGTATCCTTTTACTGCCATGAGTGCTACTTGTCCCGATCTGGCCGAGGGGAGCGGGTGGAAGCCCTAGCTCAATAACAAAAACGAGTGTAAGCGCCGTTACGAAACGCAACAACTGGTACCCAGGTTTAAAGTCTCAAGTCAACCGGTGACCTCTGAGATCAGGTCAGGTGCCCAAGGTAGGAGTTCGGTTTTTGGTGGCAGGTGGATAATTTCGCAAAAGCAGTTGCAGAGCCGCAATCGTAGCACCATCATTTTCTTTATGGTCAAGCGTGCTGAATGCTATACTTTTTGTTTTATAGAGGTCAACTTAGGGTGGTGACCTCGGACCAAGGTCAGGTCAAAGCCACTCACGTCAATATGCTCGTCGGCCTTGATTCGATAGGCCTTGCTGAGCTCAGTGGTGGCTTTCGGAAAACTCTGATGACCTTTGGGCTTTGACCTGAGTGCCATCATATATGACGTCACACAAGGCTAACAATGCAAAAATTCTGGAACGGGCCTTCCAAGAACTGTATCAAATCACGCTTCCATGTGCTTGAGATCCGGTGAGGTCACGTGACTAACCTAATCTGAGTGACGCTTATAAACGAATCCGATATATGCAAGTTATGATGGCTTGAGAGCTAACTATTAATTAAGCCCTGTAAATTTCATATCCTTGCAAAATTCTCCCTGGTACTGAGGGCGTTGCCAAGTCGCAGAATTTAAGGACGGTGCAGAGGATCACTTATGAGTTATGACTTCATTCATCAGTGACTTGGCATGACCTGAAAGCGTAGCTGGTGTCACAAGATCTGTCTTGGATAAGAGGTTCGCCGGCTTTCAGTTTTCCATGTCCAGTTTGGACTGGATCGGCACTCGCCCCCTTCAGCCGGGAAGACTTAGTCCACCAATTACGATCAGTGCTCAGTCGGTCCCGCAGAGGCCTTATGACCCAGCTAACAGCTTACCTACTCTTGCACAGTGTAGAAGCAATCACAGGGACGTCAAACATAATCAGATCTAAAATCCCGAGCTTTATGAGAATCCGTAGATTCAATGGAAAATAAGGTGACAGACTAGCGCGTATGAGCATATGAAGACACACAGTTGTATCGTGTCGCTTCGGTATCCAAACGACCTTTCATCGTAACGTAACAATGTATTCTATAAAAACAATATATCAAGTATCAAATCTAAGCCAGCCACGCTCGACGCTAGGTAGCTACAGACACCGACAGCTCAGAGACCGGCGGTACCTGCCCCTAGTTTGATCCGGCGCGTCCGACCCCTCCGCTCGTCGTGTCCTCCTCCACCACAGTGGAGATGTGGTTTTCGGCGGTGAGCGGCTGGCCGCGCAGAGTCACCCCCGAGTAGCATCCCTTGCGCGCCGACCGGATGTCGGAGCCCACCACGCCCAGGTAGTCAGCCGTCGGGAAGAGGCCGTAGGTGATCTTCTGTCCGCTGGGCGAGACGGCGCTGTCGCTGCCAGAGTACAGACACACGCTGTAGCCCGTGTAGTTGTCGCCAGAGTAGATGGTCCACGCGTCCGGGCCCGTCACTATCACTGACTGGTAGCCGTACGCTAAAACAGAGACAGAAGTAGCACCGTAAGGCTGTCACAGACTGGTAACCGTAGGCTGCAGTAGAAACAGGAATGGTCTCCGTTCCTTCACAATAAGAAACTGGTATGGCTGCGACGGGGACAAAAGTGACCTCGTTACGATCAAACACTGGCAGCCTTAGGCAAAAATAGAGACAAACACTGTATGGTCCTGTACTCTACTTGAAGTGAAGCCAAACATTATACAGAATCGGTTCGAGAGGATATTGTGACGAATAAATCAAAGGTGTCTGAATAACTTTAGTAGAGTTAGAAGGAAGATCTAACTCAGGCAGTACACTATTACGAATATCCTCCTTACTTACCCGTTCCAATGGTGCTCAGGTAGCTCTCGGTGAACACCTGTTTGCCCGAGAAGTAGGTGCCCTCGTAGAGACTGAGGGAGTCGGCGGCAGCGTCATAGTAGTCACCGACCCGACGGATGCTCGACGTCTGGGAAAGAGGTCAAAGAGGTCACACGAGGTCAGGTCAAGGTGAGAGATGTCACACATCCGGCTCATTAGAGGAAGTCTTACATTCATCCAATTTGGAATCTCAGCTTCTACATAAATTTATTCAAAAAGTAACAAGATTATTTAGATAAGAGCTTCGATAAAAGCTAAATTGAAGTAAATCGATACGTTCTAAGACATATTATAAAGACATATAAGCAGCTCGTGTTCCTTATTTCAACTAGATGATACGCTACGTGTGCTGAACTAACGAATTAAAGGTACCTAAACTTGGCTCTATAGCCGGTTATCTTTCCCTGAAGGATACCTTGTATATGAGATTCTTCCACGGATTACCTGTTGATCGAAGTCCGCCTTGAAGGTGAAGCAGTAGTTGAAGCCGTAGGACCAGAGCACCCTTCCGGCGTCATAATTAAACTGATCATGCTCGAAGAACACCCAACTGGAAAAACGAAATGCAGTTAGTTACATGATTGACAATACGGTAGGTATTCGATCACATAGGACCTCTGCAATCAATATATGTAATGGTGATTTCGACTGTTACACGAAGCAAGCATTTCTGTGCCTGAGAAGCACGAAATAACACATAAACTTTCTGTTTAGTATTAATCATACCGAGATAAAGCCGTTTAACGCTGAGCGAAAAAAAAATGTTCGATAAAATTGACATAACCAGATATGAAACATTAGACTTTCTTGTCAAAAGCTAATCGGTACAAGAGTTTTCAACATCCCAAACTTTTATCTGATCTGGAGCAATTGGAATTGGATGGATGGTAAAGGATCCACTAGCTTCTAAATCTAGTTATTTTCCCTCCCTCTGGCGATGCTGCTGACGAAAGAACTTTTGCAATTTCCGGGTCGGGTCAAACACCCATGGTTATCAGAGGTTATCAAAGTTCACATTCTAGCTGCACCGTTTTGGTATTTTTGCCATATCGACTCATACGTAAATAGTAAATGAGTGTTGCGGGATACAATTCCTAAAAACTCGAGAAGGCTTTCAGTCCTTCCAAACCACCGGCATTATTGTCAGTGGCCGTCTAAACGATTATTCAACTCAAGGTATAGATAACACGTTCGGCGCATAATGAACGGGGCCAGAGCGGATAGGTTATAAATAACACCTCAATGTTACTTAGGCCCGCTTCCCTTTAAATCACAAATGAGTTTCGCGTTAATCGCCCAATTAGTTCGCGCGTTATTACGAATTAATTGATTGAGATTATCTTTGCCCTGTCTATTCGGTCAGCAACGGGCGAAGTTTAGCCACTTGAAGCGGCAAATTAGCAATTGAACACATCCACGACGAAGCATTGTGTTGGACGTTGGTATTTGCCGACTCACAATCCGTTGATGCAGGCGGAGCGCATGACGTCGTTCCAGCCGCCGAGGCTGCTGGCGCTGTCGTGGTATGTGATGAGGCTGCCCGTCTGGTGCTGGCCGCTGTAGCCGTCCAGCCACGGCGTCACCACCTGGCCGGAGGCGCCGGCCAGCGCGGCCGACACGAGCAGGCACGCTGTCAGGGGCTGCATGGCGCTGAGGGTGACGGGATGGCTCGGTGCCGTGTGTCCGCCCCCGGCTGGGCGCGGCCTATATAGCCGCGGCGCGCGCTGGGAGCCCACCATCTGGTCACCGCGCGCCGCGCTCACACCTCAGCTCAGCTCCGGGAACAGCGCCGCCTCAGAGGCGGTGCTGCGCCAAGGCAGTCGGCAATGCGTTGTAACCGTCCCTGAGTGTGCCGTTTACATAAGAACCGGAAACGGTCCCAAATGCAGGGATCGCATATCTCACACCTATCCTACCTATTGTCACACTTTGCTTTTTGGGATATTCAGGATATTCAGCGAATGCAGCATTTGTATTTTATTGGAACCGAACCGAATACCATGAAAAGCGAAGCGCCAATCACAGGCTCAGTTTTTTTTCAATATTAATTTGTTTCATGAACGGTTATTATGCCTGTACTCCTGTAGGTGTTATGAGGCATGAGCCCTTAAAGGAAAAGGGCCACCTTTAACATGGGGATTGAAACTGAGATAGCCATCTTGTAGCCCGTGTCCGAAAACCTATCTGTCTACCTCCTTACGGCCGATTTCGGCCTCCATTCGTAGTTATCGGCAATTTTAAAAGAAAATACGCCAGGAATGCGTCCTTATCCCAGGAATGCGTTCTTATCCGACAATACAGCCACCCGCGGCGAGGCTTTGGTTTTTTACCAATCAGCTCCAACCAGCTCAGCTTTAACCAATCAGCTTATCTGACACAATCCGACGAGTCTGTCTTCTGAACGCTGATTGGCTTGAGTGTGACGTCATCGCTATGCCATCATACAGTAGGTGCCGTAGAGAGTATCAACATAGTACCAATATGTTAAATAGTTTTAAATACTTTTTAGCGAATTGTGCACTTCTGGCACCAGTTTTAAAAAGAAAATGAAAAATAATAATGTCAAAATGAAAAACAACGATATCTTCATATTTCACGAAGGTGGCCCTTTTCCTTTAAAGGTATTATCAGGGTTTTTTCCAAAATTTCGGACTTACTCAGTGAAACGTGTAGAAGAAGGTGACTGAAGCCCCAATCCAAAGTCATTCGTCTCAAAATTGCCTAATTTTCCAATGGTGGGCCTCCAAAGTTTTCGCGGCTGCCAGCCGCGTAAACTTGCGAGTACTTGGTGGTCCATCTCTAAACGCCCATAGGGTTTACACTAGCGGAGACTTTTCTAAATATTTCTAGGGAAAATATAATGGATCTAGGGAAAATATAATGGATCTAGGGAAAATGTAATGGATTACATGCTCCATTATATTTTCCCAAGACAAAATAGGGAAATATAGC